AAAAAAAAAAAGAAGGAAAAAGGGCATAAATCCACTCCTTTCCAGCTGTAAAAATAATCAAGGCTTAAACACTTCCAATCACCACCACTGCTCATGGATTTACAGATGGGGGAGGAGCAAAGAGGGAAGGGGAGGAATTTTTCCTGCTTTTCCCCACACACACACAAAAAAAACCAAACCAAAAAACAACCAAACAAAACCAAAAAAATCCACAAATTTCCATCTGCCAAAACGAAATCATTTTTCACTCCCTGCTCGGGGTCCTCCCCATTTTTATTCCACTTTCACATCCAAACAGGAGCTCCCAGGGCAGGAGGCAAAGCAGAGGCCCAAGGCTGTGGATTCGAGGCAGATTTGGCTCCAATCAAGGAATCTGAGGCGAGTTTGAGCTCCTGGAGCCTGACTCAGTTTCTGAGCTATGCCTGAGTCACTCCCTGGGCTGTTTACACTCTGCTGCTCACAGACTGGAAAGACTGAAGAGGGATTGAGTTCATCCCTGTCCGTCTGAACAGGATCCAGTTTGGAGCACAGAGGGCTCCTGGCCTTTTCCTCACCCTTTCCCATCCCACCTCCCTCCCACCGTGCCCAAAATTGCTCTGAGTTCGCCCTTTCTCAGTGCTACCTGCACATCTCAGCTCTTTGGGAAGATTATCAAGAATTCTTAGATTTAAAGTTTACCACTCTGCTGTTTCCCCAGTTTTTTTAAACAGGACAGGAGGTGTGCACGGAGTTATTTCACTGCCTTTCCCCTCAAATTAGGGAAAAGTCCACCTTGTAGCAGCCCTCATTTCAGAGCACAGCACCTGGATGGCCTCCAGCTCCCTTTCCTCCCCAATTTACTCAAAACTGTCTTAATTCCTTGAAAAATGATGCGTTTAGGGGATGAACTTTGTTGTAAAAAAGCACAAAAAAATCTCTCAGCTGAGTCCAATGTGTGACACCGAGCTGTGTGTGACACCGAGCTGTGTGTGTGTGACACCGAGCCCTGTGTGACACCAAACTGTGTGTGACACCGAGCTGTGGGTGTGACACCGAGCTGTGTGTGACACCGAGCTGTGTGTGACACCGAGCTGTGTGTGTGACACCGAGCTGTGTGTGACACCGAGCTGTGTGTGTGACACCGAGCTGTGTGTGACACCGAGCTGTGTGTGTGTGACACCGAGCTGTGTGTGACACTGAGCCCCGTGTGTGACACCGAGCTGTGT